CTGTTCAATAGATGAAAGGCAACTTGAGTTTAATAATTGTGCCAAAAGTACCAGTTTGTGTCTTGGTAATTGCACAAAACTGTAATAGGCCACAAATAATCAAATTTTCTAAAAACACAGCAGCAAAACCTATTTTATCCACCCAAAAATGAAGGACCTCCTGAAATAAAATCGCTATTTTTAGCATTAAATAATGTACACTTAAACTGATATAGATTTTTTGGGTGGATAAAATAAATGTTGCTTTTGCCCACGTCCTCAGCAGTACATGGCTCTGCTGTGCTGGGGCTCCTGTATGTTTCTCCACACCACTACTGTAGGTAGTACACTGATTATGGATATATATACCACATACTACCCCACTTCAAAAGACCAGAACTATCCCCTTAAGGGCAGCTGTTGATGTTCACAACAACAACAAAAAACGCATACAGATGGTTGTAGTCTGTAGCCAGACAGTGATAGATCTGGTCGTGGTGGAGCATGGTGGTGGGCAGCGGTGTGACTTCTAGCTGTCATGGTGATGTTCATATGCCAGCTTGAACTTTACCGAGAGCAGAGTCCACTAGTGGCACCTCACAGGGATACCTATGGTGCAGAAGCAGCAGTGAAGTCCTTGTAGATCCCTGGCACTTTGAGGGCAGACAGATCCAGCAGCTCTCAGCTCTCAGAGACATCAACACATAAGCTATTCTGTGTGCTTAGCTTGCTTTCACATAACTACTAATCTCTCACTTTACTTTCTCTGATATTGTTCTCTGCTTTGGATTGCGGACATCCCAGCCATGTTCTCTAACGGGCCTGGTTTTACACACTGTGGGTTTAAGCAATATATAGCAATGATGAGATATGTGTGTATGAGACATGATGAGTGTGTAGTTTTAGCATTAGAATTACAATGACATTATTCTCAGACTTGCCATAGTTCTTGGTTTGTACCACTGCTGCTCTGCTCTGTACAGCTGAGTACTGGGGACCCACTGGGAGTCATGTGACTGGAGCAGGAGATTAACACACGTCACACCTGCAGCCATGATGCTCCAGCTCAACGGGGGTCGAGTCTTTCAGCCCCACCTGTAAGAAGAGAAACAAAATAAATATGTATTCAGTTTGCTTTGTATTATTTATTTTAGGGTAAGATGTTGGTTTAATAACATTGTGCTATTTTAAGGAGTAAATACAAAGTCATATCTTTGTTCCTAGATGTTTTTTATACTTACAACTTCTTATACAGACTGATATGAATTGATTCACTTTCATACTATGAACGAAGAAAAATAACTCTTTAACAACAGAACAGGAACAAAACACAACTGTGACCTCTGTGCAGCACACACAGACCAGTCAGTCCATTTCTGAGGAGAAACTACCTTGTGCTAGTTATTAAAGTTGATGTTTTACTACTGGCTGTGTCTAACATGTCTAAAATGAGCCAAATCCCCAGGAACATGTTGAACCAGACGGTAACTAAGACAGTAACAACACTTCATCCTGAACTCACTGTGGGGCCTGTCTTCATGGACCTGTAGCATAACTCCCTGACACATACACAATACAAAGTATTTTCATTAAGAATGCACATACTGTACTGTCTTTCAATGTAGTCAAACTTGTTGAAGAAAAACAATAAGCTGGACACTGGATTCCAGGATTTAACTTTTACAGCATATCCTCGTGTCTTTTATTTTGAAATATGTTCTCTAACTTCCGGTCCACCGGACTGCTTTTCTTCATTCTTCAATACAAAACGGAAAATTGAATGAAGTTGTTATCAAAAAACAAAATCAGACCGTTTTTTGTATTAGGTCTTGTTGTTATCCGTTTTTTGATTCACACAACAACAACAACTGGGAAACGGCTTTGGTTTCCCGTTTTTGATTTAAAACGAAAAAAGGCTGGTATTTTCATTTTTTGGTTAAAACGAAAAATCTAACTAACAAAACGTACACTTACCTTTTTTTAATTTTATTCTCGTTATCCGTCTTTTGGTTCAGACAACAAAAACGGAAAAACGGCTTTGGTTTTCCGTTTTTTCGTTTTAAATCAAAAACGAAAAAAGGCTGGTATTTCCGTTTTTTAGCTTTTGGTTTAAACGAAAAATCAAACTGACAAAAAGTACACGGACCGTTTAGCCATGGCCTGCAGAAAGCGCCAAAAGATAAAAACACCGTTGTCCTGTGGCCAGCTCGTCAACAGTCTCTCCGTTCCTTGAATGTATCTCACAGAAATCTTCAAACCTTGTTGTGTCGCCAGTTAGATATTTTTAAGTGAAGGACTGTAAAGCCAAACATCGTACTCATCTTTCTCATTGCCATAACACAAACAAATCTAAACCAGGAGACCCAATTTGAGGTTTTTAAGATTAAATTGGATGTTACCATCTAACAATTCCTATTGTTTGTACAAATTTACAAAACTGTTCCGAAATAAAAGATATTACACTCCTTAACTCCAAAACTTGAGATAAGTAATGACTTATTTTAGTTTCAAAGTAATCCAGTGATGGTTAGCAGGAGCTGATAGATTTCATACTTTCATCAGTGTCAGTTTGACTTAAAATACAGTTAAGCTGACATGACACACTTCACCTCCACGAGGTTCATCAAACTGAGCTTGATGACATAAAGCAGGGCAGCATCGTTATCAATGCGTCCCATTGTTGCTGAAATCAGTTTTTAGTTTCAGAGTAGAGATTAGTGGTGTGTGGTTCCTTTACAGTTTCATGAGCTTTATGTCGTCATGAGGAAACAACTTGTACGCAACAAAGAAGATGTGTTGTTCTAGTTGTTATGACGTAAGCCTGGCAAGGGCTGTACCAAAATGTTCATAGACGTCCAGTCTTGAGGGGGCGTTCACCCAAATGTGACAGGTCTGACCAAAATGTTCAGATTATTCAGAAACCAAATGAATATAATGCAAATGAATTCTTGATCTTGGGAAATTCTATTCGGGGTCCATTTTGGTTGCCTTACAATCTTATGGTGAAGACAAAACTCCAGGAAGTGTATGGTCCTGGTCAAGGAAGGACGTACACCCCTCAAAAAGCACAACTTGTGTTTCCACGCTTTGTTTTTACACAAATGAAACAAACAAGACACAGCGTGTAACACGTGCTGATACAAATGTTTGTTTCCACACTTATTGTTAAATTCGAAAGCTGGATCCTTATAGGCCTATATATATATTTTGTTTGACAGCTATTGGAAGGTATTGCGCTCTTTATTCAACTTTGGGGAACAAACTGAATGAGCAATTCTTCTGTCAAAGCAAGCTGCTGCACAGTAGGCTACATCATAACATCTTGAATACATGGTTCATAATGCAAGAACGCAATGTAATCCAAACCTCTTGCTTATGTTGGATACAATAATACAGCTTTATTTATATAGCACTTTAAACCTCCAGACCAAAGTGCTGTCCAGGCAAATAAACAAAACAAAACATACAAAAAGTAGCACAGCTCAGCTCACACCATAAAACAAGTAGCCTACAAGTAAAAACAATAGACAATTGATGAATGAATCCAGATGAATCCTGAAATGGCGGAACCCTGTAGAATCTTATCAGTTGTAAAGGAAATCAGCATTTTTCAGAAACAGTTGGACTTTAACTGCCATGCAAATGAGCAGGTGGACGTTTGATTGTTTGAAAAAGACACCTGCACTTTTTTTCCTGCTGACTGCACGGCCTTAACAAGACCAGACTTGTTAACACCCAACAACCTCCGCCACCATTGGGATGATCCTTTTCACGGCTGCCATCAATGACATTACTATCCAACACTACAACCCCCACTGCCAGCTGATCATCTACATATGTGTGTGAGTGTGTAGCTGTGCTAGTGGTGGAGGGGTGAACAGCAGATGGCAGGGCTGCCCCCATCATGTCTGCTTTTTGGGGGAGAACAATGCATCTCTCTCAGCTCTTATCAAAGGAGGGGAAGGGGATTTCAGTCCACAGACAGCTGGCAGGCAGCGTGCCTCGCATCCCACCTCCTCCCTCCGTGTCCACACACAGACACACTGCAATTAACTGGCACGGGCCATGGCTTAAATATTTACCAGGCACATGCAAACAAATAGATGTTCAAAAAATAATGATAAACCCATGCCTCAGTTTAGTTGTTAGAATACCTTTGACTGTGTTTCTATCATGTAAACAAGGTCACATTCACCAGTTCAGCTTTAACCAACACAATACAAATGAGTTCTTGGTTCAATACCACATTTTAAAATACTTTTAGGGCCAAATATCAGTTTATTGTTCCATGAGCCAATCTAGAGAATACTAATCAAATTTTTGAAAGTTAGGGTTTCTTTGTGTTCGGATCCTGCAACGTGAGCATATTTGCTGTTTAAGCCGAAAGACATCGAGCTTTGCCACGTTTGCCAGACAAGGAGTTTGAATACATCCTCTGAGGCTTCTGGGAATTTAACCTGAGGATTTCCTGACATATTATAGACTGAAGTATGTATAAATCTATAAATAGATAATGGTAACTGCTTTTAGAAAAAAGAGAAACATGCAATAACATTAAATAAAAGAAAAAGAAACAATAAGACAAGACAAAACAGCGAAAATAGATAGCCCATAAAATATGTATTAAGAAAGCATGGCTAATTCCGACTTTGTTCCTATGGATAGGCCAATCATTTGATATAAACATGACATTAACAACAATTCTGGCTTAAATCTTTTTTTTTTTTTGCCTGAATTATTAACATCCTCCCTCATATTTCCTTCCATGACTGAAGGTGCATTTTATGATTCTGCAGACCCTCAGTAACATTCCCCACTGTAAGGACTTTAAGTAGGAGCAGCCCGGACTTGCATTCCTCAAACTACCTCACAACAAAAACAATAACAGGCTATTTTCCATTATACAGACAGCCGCCCCCCTCAGACAGCGCCACACCTGCTCTCCTGCCCCTGCCTCTCTCCCCTCTGCTCCTCCTCCCGCTCTCCTCCCCTGTGCTCTGCTTTTGATCCCACAGGGACTCGGAGCCTTTGCATTCCTCTCATTCCGGCCCGGAACAATCGGCCTCAGTTATTCACCGTGCCGCGCAGCTCGGAGCGCAGTCTGGCCCCGGCGCGCACACATCGCGCATGGAGGAGAGGAACCTGTGGACTTTGTTGAATTTATGAGCAGAAAACTGAAAGACTACAGCACCCTAAACTGATTCCTGCGGGATGAGACTATCGCTCGGTAAGTTTGACATGGTTTACTCGAGTTTTATCCAACGCTTGCTTTGTGTTTGGAGTTCACAACAGAAGTCCCTTTAGCACGGATTGTGTGCATGGCGCATTTTTGACTGTTAAATTGCTTTTCAGTTCCGGTGAACATCTCGTTTATTTATTTTACCCTTAAGAAGCAGCACCTTTTCCGGAATGGGCCCAGTTACTAAAACAAAAACACATTTTAAGTTGGTTTCAAAGAGTTTGAGTTTCCGGTTGATTCCGAGCCGAGGTTATGTCAGTAAAGTGTAGTGTCACACTCCTTTCTGTCTGGCTGCTGAACAAAGTTATGCTTTTAAGTGTGTGGGCATCAATAAAAGTGGATCTGCACTGAGATCAGTGACATGGGTATTTCCAGCAGCAGACCCTGCTCTCACTGCTAACAGCAAGTCATTGAGCAATAAAAGAGTTGGCAATAATTTGGGAAAAAATGTAGGCTTCTGCGTGTGGAATACTTAACCTGCTACAATTAGTCGATGACCGATAAACGGCAACTATTTGGATCATCGATTAATTACGTCGTTCATGAAAAAATGGCAGAAAAGGCTTTTTCATGCCTTTCAAATATGCAGATGTCCTGCATGTTAGCTTGGACTGTAAAATGCCGAGATGAACATGTTTCACTATTTTCTAGCAGTTTGTGTCAACGAATCACGATTAATTGATTATTTAGAAAATAACTGCAAGTGGCCGCAAAACTATACATTTTTACAGGAGTTTTGTGAACCATGAATAAATGATTCGATGATTTAAAATTGTACCATTCATTTTGTGACGTGTTTAATGAGATCAATATTATAATTTCCCCTTCAGATTTGTGATTTGAGACCGTCACCTCCAACTCCAGACAGTTTTCTGCTAATTTCCCACGGACTGAGATGAGAACTGCTGAAAGCTCCTGTGGAACGGTCCTGCACCGACTGATCCAGGAGCAGCTGCGCTACGGGAATCTGACGGACACGCGCACGCTCCTGGCCATCCAGCAGCAGGCCCTGCGGGGGGGCAGCAGCAGCGGCGGGGGGGGCCACGGCAGTCCCCGCTCCTCTCTGGAAAGCCTGACAAAGGAGGAGACCCAGTACATCCAGATGTCCACGCGACAGGATCCTCAGGGCCAGGAGCACCAGGGGGACCTCCTGCATTCTGAGAGCCAGGGGTGCCATCTGTACCAGCTGCACGGAGAGGAGCTGCCCACATATGAGGAGGCCAAGGCACACTCCCAGTACCTGACCTCCCAGAAGGGGCAGGCCGAGCAGGACTTGAACATAATGGGGGGTCACAGTGAGGCTCAGTGGGACCTGAAGAGGGAGCACGCTCGCTCCCTCAGTGAGAGGCTCATGCAGCTCTCTCTGGAGAGGAGTGCTCCTCAGCAGAGCCTGGGGTCTGCCCACAGCTATCCACAGCTGTATAATATTACAAACACTGTGGCAGCTGACAGGCCAGGGGCCCAAAAGTATGCAGATCAGCGTGGGCCCCCCCCGGACTACCCTCTGTTTGCTAGGATTCCTGGATACATGCTCAGCCACTCACAGGAGCACGGACAGTTCTACAGAGAGCCGCCTCCACCCTTCTACTCTCAGCATCACAGGTAATTACACAAGATGGACAACCATCATGGGCGGTTCTGAGGGGGGCCAACAGGGGCCAGTGCCCCTTGAGCACTGAGCTTGGACCCCCCTATGGCCCCCCTAGTTATCAGGAATGTTGTTGTTTTTTTACTAAAACTACTGTTACTGAATCAAATTATGTTACTGAAAAAAAATACTAACAAATGTTAAGAAATACACCAACAAAAAAGTTTGGCTGCATAAATAATTAAATCATGTATTATCCCCAAATGCATTTAGGCACATTTGAAAAAAAGAAATTTCAAAAACGGTCTTTTCTCAAATCTATCATTCAGCTTTCTTTCAGTTGACAAAACAAGACGTTTAAAAATATAATCTTACACGTCTAGAAACTCCATATTCTGTCATTATACAGACCACACATTTAATCAATAGATAAGGAAAATAATCCTTGCAGATAGTAATGCTTTCTCTATGTATTTCCTGTGCCTTGTGCTATTCAGCATCGTGGTAATACATCTCTCTCTCCTGGCAGCTTTGTGTCTGCTCAGTCACAGGTGGCTCACAGCCCCCCCGCAGCCCCCGGCCAGAACTTGTCTCAGACCCAGATGTTGATGCAAGAGAACGAGCGGCTCAGGAAGGAGCTGGAGGTCTATAGTGAGAAGGCCTCCCGGCTGCAGAAGGTGAGGGGGAGAGGCAGTGAATGAACGGAGCTCACATCAAGCTGCTGAAATAGTAAAAACAAGGAAAGCACATGTACTGACGTGACAGGGGGATGAGCTATCCCGCAGTTAGGGGAGTCATCATATTAATGTAAGGTTTTCTGAGTTACTAAAGTAAGTTGTTGAGAGTTTTCCCCTCAGGATTGCCTAAAACACTTTGCCTTTCAAACTTGCTGGCAATTTGCCCTGAAAGGAGATAAAAACCTCGACACCTCGGACTCACAAGTGTTCACTCAGGAATGTTGATTCACACTTTACAGTTTTGCATATAGTTAGAAAACCATTTGCCTGAAAGCAGTAAAAAAAAAGAATAAAGGGTGGCATTTATACTGGTGATGACTAATTGTTATTATTGATGTGAGCAACTAAAACATGAACCACAATCCAGACCACGAATATCTCCCAGAGACTGATAATCTTTTCCCATGTTCTTCCCAGTTGGAGTTGGAGATTCAAAGGATATCAGAAGCATACGAGACCCTAATGAAAGGCTCTGCCAAGCGGGAGGCTCTGGAGAAAACATTGAGGAATAAACTGGAGGCTGAGATTAAGAGGATGCACGACTTTAACAGAGACCTGAGAGGTACGTGTTGTCCATCGTTGGAAATGCTCAGCTTTAAATAGAGGACTGTGTATGGGCAATAATCTGCTGATAAGATAACAACCAAAGACATATGTATATGTAGAAACAGACAGTCAGATTGATGGTGTTTTTGAGAATGTATACAGTATCCCAAAACATAATATTGTGAATTTAAAACATGGCGTATTACAGCATAAACTACAAAAAATACAGAAATTATGTTTGATCTCATGTTGTGGGATGTTTTAGTGAAGTTGCAGTTCATTTTATTGTGTGGGGTTGTTGTGATTGCGTATGTGTAAGTGCCAGTGCAATGATTTTAAGAGGGAAAAATAGACAGATACATACAGAGACTGGATGAAAAAAGTCTTATCAATATTTGTGTATACCCATCATCTTTTTTTGTTTTTCTGTACAGACCAGCTTGATTCAGCTATCAAACAGCGGTCAGCTAAGGAGGCCGAGTGTTCAGACCAGAGGCATCATGTCTTTGTTAAACTGCTTGAGCAAAGTGAGTTCTTCATGTGTTACTCAGAATCAGTCTTATCACTGCATGGCTCATGAGAGGAAATAGTAGGAAGACATGAGGATGTTTTTTAAAATGGAGATTGGACATTTCCCAGTGCCCTGTGAACTGACGATGGCAGCTACATAGAAGAGGAGGGATTGGTTTCCTCCTTCAGTGAGGCGGTGTTATGAAGGCCTGTGTCGGGACACTAATGGCTTTATTTCTAATGTTAAGAGACACTCTTGACACTTAGACGGCAGCTATTTTTTACAGCCATAATAAATGTGGCCTGAATTCCAGAGATTTTTTTAGATATTCAGTCTGTCTCGACAGAATGCCTCCCCTCCCCCGATGCTCAGTTTTGCATCACTGCTGACTCCCCTCCTCAAAGGGAACTAATGAGTCCGGGACTCTAGGGTCGTCCAGGCCCAACTCAAGATGACCTCTGGCCAGCCCGCTCTCCTTGTTTGGTCATTTCTTTACCTCATTATTGAATATGTTCTGCTCTGTGCAGGGATGTGCTGGCGAGTACAGCTAACTGATCTCAGTTTACTCATCTTTTTTAACCTACTAGGATTAACATTTCCCTTCTCTGTGTATTGAAACAGCCACATGATTTCCCTGAGTCATAAGATTGAGATCTAATGATCTGCCTTTCCTGGAAACACTTATCTTGGAACAACAGGAGCATACTTGCATTAAAATTACAATAGTGGGATGTGTTGTGTATATATTTTTTGCAAAATGGACCGCTTCTTGTTTACTTCACGTCCCTAGAAGCATTCCAGAGCTGTTCCCAGTACAAGGCTATGCCTGTATGCGTAAGTGGATAAAAGGAAGTCTGCATTCCCTCCACAGGCATGCACTCATGTTGTGTAATCAAACTCCCTTTTTAAAGTGACACAAAAGATACACCGGCTTTCCCTTCTGAAGGATTTCCTTAAAATATGGACTAGCTTTTGATAAGTATATTAGATCATTTAAATGTTTGAGTGTAAGTTTACAGTACAGTAAAGTAGTTGTGAGTTATTTCCATTTTAGAAAACTAAGTGACAAATGCTCTGTTGTTGAACCACATACCCCAATGGTGAATTTCTTTTGTTGGGTCGCATTCCATTCAAAATGTAACTCCCTGAGCTTATGTAGTGCATTGACTGACCCATCAATAGCCACTGAATAGTTTTGTATAGTGAAATCATTAGCATTAATTTGACCTCTTCTTTGTGGCTGCTATAGAGAGCTGCAGCCTTTGTGGTCTCATTTACCCACTTGTTAGCAACCTTTACATGTGAAAGCAGGGGTACTGACATTAATGTTGTGAACATCTAATGAGAATCTTTTAAGTTTGTGTTTACAGTCATCTTCCCAAAGGCCTATTTAAAAATAAAAAACCTTGACTTTGTGACCAGGGAACACAAGAGTCCAAAAGGGCTTACTCACTCCCAGGTTTCCGGACTCATTCCCACAGCACACTTAACACAGTATCTTCCAGTCATGTCGTAGTTACTACTACCACCATTCACCTCTTCTTCCTCTCTTCCTGTACCTCAGATGAAGAGCAGCAGCGGGAGCGGGAGCAGCTGGAAAGGCAGGTACAGCACCTGCGTGTCTCCGGGGAGGAGTGCCAGCAGAGGGGGGAGCTGCTGGAGCAGGCTCTGCTCTCCACACAGGCCCGCAACCGGCAGCTGGTGGAGGAGCTGCAGAGGAAGAGAGCATATGTGGAGAAGGTGGAGCGGCTGCAGGGGGCGCTGTCCCAGCTGCAGGCCGCCTGCGAGAAGAGAGAGGCGCTGGAGCTGCGGTTGCGCAAGCGGCTGGAGCAGGAGCTGAAGAGCCTGAGGGCCCACCAGGTGAGGGGCCGGTTCAAAACTTAGGAAGAAATACTTTTTCTCTAAAATTAGATGAAAAAAAATGTATACCCTCTCATATGTCTTTAGAATAAATGTGAAGATAGAGCTGGGTGTTGATTGGCTTAGCTTAGCATACATTCCCTAAAGCTTGGGAAACAGCTAGCCTGGGTTTGTTCAAAAGTAACACAATTGAAAAACCTACCAGTGACTCCAATGGTAATTTAATTGTTTTTAGGCTTGCAGTTTCCTGATACTTGTTATTTATTTTTAAGCTAAGCTAACTGGCTCTTGCTCTCATATTAAGCCTACAGATTCAAGAGCTACGTAGAAGTCTAATTTCCAAAAGGTCAAATTTTCATTTTAATTAAAAATATATGTTTCCTAATGTGAGCGGTTGTCTATCATGTCAGTCTCATAGACAGGCCGCTGACCCCATGTCTTCAGAGCCCAGCTCCTCCATGCTGCAGCAGCAGCTGAGGGAGCGGGAGGAGCGGGTCCTGGCCCTGGAGGCAGACCTCACCAGGTGGGAGCAGAAGTACCTGGAGGAGAGCACCATGAGGCAGTTTGCCATGGATGCAGCTGCCACTGCTGCTGCACAAAGGTACGATAAAACATAGAGAAATGTAGCAACGCGAACACTTTTGGATTATTCAAATTGTATTGAAGTTTAGGGATGTTTTTTAACTGTCTCCTATTTTAAATGCAGAGATACAAACCTCATCAAACATTCTCCACGACAGTCACCAAACAGCAGTTTTAATGAAGACCTGCCTTCATCTAGTCACAGACATCAGGAGATGGAGAACAGGTAAACATCATTCCCCTTATTTGTTAGATAGTAGCTTGCTTCTCTGGTTTGTGGTCTAATGGTGTCTTGCATATGTTTAGGATCCGTGCACTTCATGCTCAGCTCCTGGAGAAGGACGCTGTGATCAAAGTCATTCAGCAGCGCTCCAGGTGGGAGCAAGGCCAGCTGGAGAGACAGGGGCTACGTCTCACCAGGTCTGTCCCCTCCATCAACAATTTGACCAGTAGCACGGAGAGTAAAGGTGATTACAAGATGTTTCCCGCCACGCTTCATACAACACCAAGGAATTTAGAATCTTTAATGACACATGCTATATCAAGCGACAACTGGCTGACGCCAGACAGAATGTGCACTTCCTAAAAACAAGTATTGACAAGCCTTTCATGCCCCTCAATGTACAGCTTGTTTTTAAACTGGAATGCATATCACCTCTCACTCCAGATTAGCCCGATCCAGAATAGTCATGGGAAGAGCTCAGAGGGCAGATGTTCAGGAGTGTGTAAATGTTGATGCATGTAATTAAGCAGCCTCCTTCCTTTGTCTGCATTTGTAGGAAAGAGCCTCTCAGATGACCAGACAGGTGCTGCTGCGCTGAGACTCCAGCCCTGGATGGGGGGGCCGGCCAGGGCCCCCAGCAGGGACTGCAGCACCCAGAGTGAAGAGGCCTCTCTGGAGCCGGAGCCCACTGAAGTGATCTCAGCAGCTTCATCTGGTGGGTTTACTGCTTTGTTCACTCCTGCTCTGTGCAGCTGAACAGGCTGCCCTTGATCTTTTTGACCGTTATATAAAGTGTAACCAGACCCTGGGTCAGTAATATGTATTAGGACAATTATGGGTTAAAAAAACAGTGCCTAGGTAGGGGGTAATATTCTATATTAATGAAGCCTTCTAAATAATTGAATCTCGTAAATTCAGATTGTTTAGAACAATATTACCCTCCTCCCCCTGCTGGGTTATTACATTTTTTTTTACCTAGAATGGCCATTATATGCAGTTTACAGACAGACTAATAACTTCAGAATTAAACATGTTGTGTGTTGCAAATAACCAGCATTGCAGTTACCTGAGCATACCAAACTGCTTTTCTAACCCCATTATTTTATCTTCACAGTAGAGACCACAGAGAAGCTACTCAAGACATGTGAGAGGATCAGCAGCTCCGATGCAGAGGTGGTTGAAATCCTCATTTGAGGACCATTACAGATGATATGAACAGTGCCAGCCAGTGATGACAGAGACCTCAAGCCTGAGGTTTTAAAGACCTTCCTTTACATCTGAACACACATAAAGGAAGGCTGATGGTCTGATAATGATCTGAAGAGTTCACCAGCAGCATGTGCTGCAGTTTGGAGAGGAGAGCTTTCCTCCAGCTGCACAGTTCACAAACTGACATTTGCCTGAAGAGAAATAATTCTCCAAGCTACCTGGACAGTATTGTGCACTGTGATAGGAACCTGGCTGCTGATGCGAATATTCAGTTGTTGTGCGTTTTCATTTTTGTAGTAATGTATTGTATTTATGTTTGTTAATGCTGCTCATATTGTGATGTGACGTTTCTTGCCCTGCTCCCCTTAAGTTATATACATTTCTCTGGATAATTTATTTAGTTTATGTTTGAATGTCCAGTAGCGAGCCTGCCCTCTTAAAGTAATGGATATATTAATATTACAAGCATCCTCTATTTCTTCATGCCATTTTTGGGGATTATTCTGTTTAACATAACCTAAATTAACAGTTAAAAATAAATTTGTGGCCTGCTCACACCTCAGAAGAAGATTTAGAAACTTTGAATACGAAGCCTGCAGGACGTCTGCTCACTACTCTCTTAAAAAAGCCTGTGAGGATTGACAGTGTTTCACGGGGGTCTAATTTTCCGGATCCTGGGTTAATGTTCAGGGGCCTCAGATGGCGACTGCCCACCATTTTGCTTCCCTCCGCTGATATGCTGGAGCTAATCTACTCACATTCCCTAGCTGACGGAATGCTCCCTTTAAAGAAAAAGTCTATCTAAAGTCTGACCCCTCACCCTTGTTAAAATGGCAAACATTCTCCACATGATTCTCTTTCTGGGGCTGGTTATTTATTCTGAGTGCTGGTAGCTGGATCTACCATGAGCATAGAAATGTTCAACTATAATTGGCCTGTATCTGCTACTCTATTTGTTGTCTCCATCCCTGTGTTATATTCAGCTGTGTTGTCTCCAGCGCAAGTATCTCACATTTCTGAGTGTACAGGACTATATCCCTAACATGGAATCTTCTATTTATTTCTCCCTGCGTGGTGTAGGATCACTGAACACTGCTAATAATAAATTAATAATAATACATTTAATTTATATAGCGCTTCTCATCTGCCAAGACAAATCTCGAAGCGCTGAATGTAGAATCCTGTTTCCAGCACTGTGTTCCTTCAATTCAATTGGATTGTGCCACAACTTTGATTGATCTACTCTTTCAAGGAGAATACTGCTAAGTTAATATATTACCCCACATTTTTCCATGGCAGAATTTCTAGGTTTATTTATTATAAATATTGTGCCGCAAATTGCATGAGAAATCTCACATTTTGACTGTTATTCCCCTTCAAGCTGTTCACCATACTTCCCGACACAATGCGTTTGCTGGTCATTGCAGCGTGTCAGTTCATGCCTTTCACTCTTTTTGGAATGTGTTTACATGATTGTGAAGTGAGAGAACTTAATATATTTTGTAGCTTTTTGTCATTTGTATACTTTTTTTTTGTGTGTTTTTGGTGCCAAAGATGTACTCTACCTTTAAGTTATCATCATGACAAACACAAAAGGTCCTGTTTAGGTGCCTTGCTTCAGCTGGTTGACCCATTTTGATGTTGCTGTGAACTTTTGTAAAGGAAACATTTGTATGTATGCCTTAAAATGTCACTATATATAGATTACAATTCTTAATATATGTCTGATAAAATGCTCTTGGTTTTGATTTGTTGCCCTGGTTTGATACAATATAGTCATGGGATCAAGTAAAAAAAAACCTACTGAATGCCTTAAGTGTGTCAGATAGTAATATTTGAAGACTGATTCCTCTTGGTTTATTCAATAGGACTAGTGCGCTCTGGTCCATCTTTATCAATAAGTTATTATGTGCTACAGATCTACATTTACTTCTTGCAGTTGCACCTTCTAGATATAATAATGTATTAGTCTTACAGATACATAAGGTAGGCTTTTTCCTGCTTACATTTAAGGGACCTTTAGGAATATCAATGACAAATTCCTGTAGTTTAATCACAATTGGTGATTGCAGAATCTATTGGTAGGTCACAGAATGGTGGAGTCACGGGAAATGTGGGTTTGAAACCACACAAAAAACCCACCTGTTCAGCCCCAAATGGCAGACAGACAAAGTCAGCAACGCACATTTTGAAGAATGTAGCAGCCAAAGGGACAGATATTTCCCTCAGTTATTGAAAGACCAAACAGAGTCATCATGCCAACTCTTCAACTAGTTGTCTCTGGGGCAACAGTGATATTTTGGAGGTCCTTGTGTAGCCAGCTGTAATCCATGTTATGTAATTCTGGACAGTGTTCCTGTTTGCTAGTCATTACAGTCTGATTAGCCATGGCCGTATCCACCATTGAGGTCACCGAGGTCCGGACCTCGGTAATTCTTTCCGAGCTGTGTATATAACAAAACTTGTGAAATAATTGCACTAAACGGGATTCTTTGTAGTACTTCCATTTACTGACGGTGCATAACTGATGCATAACTACGTAGCCTCGATTAAAGCAAACAGAAGAAGACGACAAACAAACCACCGCAGCCCGGACTTGAACCGGAGCAGCGAATGAGTGATGTGGTATCTAGAGATCTGAGTCCAGCGGGCTGCTTGTGTTTCTGTTCATCAGGACATCATATGACCAGCAGATCCTGTGTGAATGCTCTACGTTAGTCAGTGGACGCCCGACAACATGCACACTAACTTATATTTCAGCTATAGGCTATACTTTGGTTTAAATTGCGTGAATAAACTAGCTAGAGAGCTAAAGTTAATTACATTCATCCAAGTCAGAAGGATTACCTTTTAACAAACGTTGTAATGCTTTTCTTTCATTTCAATTTGAGTAAAACATTGAAGATATAACATTGTATTGTTTTATTTTTACACTGACTCAGATGTAATGAAAAGACTACGTCAGTCGAAGCTCAGCTTTGGTAAGGAAGAGACAGGACAGGCAGAGAGAGAGAGTGATGAGAGAAAGTGATGGAAGTCAGGGAGGAACTGCAGCTACAGTCACACAAAAGAATGTAGGCTTAATAACCCCATCTATTTATCTATCCATCTATCTATCCATCTATTTATCTATCCATCTATCTATCCATCTATCTATCTATCCATCCATCATTCCATCTACAGTATCCATCTATCCATCCATCCATCTATCTATCTATCCATCTATTTATCTATCCATCTATCTATCCATCCATCCATCTAGAAGTGCAGGTACAGTCACACAAAAATAATGTAGGCTTAATAACCCTATCTATCCATCTATCCATCCATCCATCCATCTATCTATCTATCTATCTACATCCATCCATCCATCCATCCATATATCTATAACAATATTCTTCATTTACAATAAGCATAATTGTAAAACAATT